TTCGGAACACCACCAACGGATTACGTTCAAATTTGGGAAGCTTTGAAGGTCCCTAGTGAACGGGCATTTGATTAGATTAGACACGCTGCTAGTTGATAACCTTCTACAACTTACTGCCTGATCATCCTGGTTGCTCGGTTCCTAATTTGAAAATAAACTCGACACCTCATTCTGCGTGGTTCTGTCTCAAAGGCAAAGTTCACGATAATTTTGGATTGACCGATTATAACGAAAAATGAAAGAGGTGGAGAATAGTGTGGTGAAGGCGAAGAAAGTGCGCGAACGTGTCGTGTAAGCATGTTTCTAATGTGATAGAAGGTCACGAAAAATTTGTAAAAAAGGGGTTGACGAGAATAAGACCAGAAAATGAAGTAGAAGGGGGTGTTTGGAATAGATATACAATATACAGCCGAAATAGCCCACTCTTTTCACCCTTCTGGGAAAACTCGCAGCAGCAAAAATAATGGCAGAGAAAATAGAATAGAAGGAAAACATCGTCTCCGCACTTGACGATCGGCTGAGTGCGTGCTGAACGTGTTGGCCCTGACGCGAATATTGCAATCTGTATCGCTTCGGCACTCGTCTGACAGACCATCGGTCGATGGGCGTGGCTCCCAACCGACCCGGTAATTTGGCTGTTTTTATGCCATAGCTGTGGAGTTTCTGGACCCGACAGCGTCCTTTTTGTTACCCTTGGGAACCACTGGGTAATCCTGAGAAGATATCTAGGAAACCATTTTTATCGTGAACTGTGCCTGACAATGACAATGACACCTGCTGTTTTCAAACAGCCACGCTCCTCAATTGAAACTATCTCAAGCAATTTTGAAGGCTCTAACTTTTTTGCTATACCGGTAAACAGCATTCTGTGCTCGATCGATATTCCTAGCACTCAATTCAAAATCCTTCGAAAAGGTGGAACCATTTCTGGTTAGTTCCCTCTAATTCTTCATAAGCAAATTTACTCTCCAGACGTACAATAGTTTCAAAATTTCTCTTCATTTCTCAATGCATAAATCTAGACGTTGACTTCTGAAGAAATTATTTATTTTTTGAATCTGCATCAAAGGAAATTCAGATGGCATTGTATAAGACCATCTCGACATCGCTTCCGTTTACAACTACCCACGGTAACATTCTGCACTGCAGTTTTCAACCTCTCGCACCCACTAAGGGGTGCTCGTCCGAGGTTTTCCTCCGATAGAACTAATAAGTAACGGGAGGTTGGAAAGCTGTATATGAGGCACGGTCGTGGAGTATTTCCTTATATAAACGGTTGAAGAGCCGTTGTCAAACAGACTTCCTGTGGCCGGAAGATTCAGGACTGTGGCCTGATCTCTGCATATCGTGTCCATCAGCGGAAAAATGTACAGTATGGTGCAGAGAACGAGAGGACGCCACGTGGCTATGCTTAGCCACGGACTCTGGCTGCTTATGTCATTGCACGGCAATTGTATCATTCACGTTCGTCATCGTCGTTGCCGCAGCAGCCTGGTCGCCTCCGTCTTCTTGCACACACTCGACGTCAACTCCACCAGCGCAGCTCCAGTGAGATCCGAAGCATCACTATATTGCCGTCCACTGCTGGTGCAAATGCTCTCGAAGAAAACGTCACGCAGAGAATGTCTGGAGGAGTTGTTCGCGGGCAGTGATGAACCAAGGAGAAGCAGTACCGCAAGATGGTTGGGAGGATTGGATGGCTCAGACTGATAGTGAGCAGGACCTTACCCCAGCCGTAAGTTCATATGGTTTAGCGGTGTACATATTTTCTTATATTCCTTTCTATATATTTGTTACAATCGTAGTTAATCGCATTTGCTCACATTTATCGTAACATTTTTTCTATACACGTAATTGTTCATAAATTCATACTCACTTCGTATTCAACTCATTCATGTGTATTTAGGACGTGAAGTGTAGGGTCACTCATATTTGGCAGCCATCATGAGCGCTGGGATGAGCGTATGCGCAGACCTTTGAAGGAACACGCGCCCACGCCTCAGTGAGCTCCGCGGGCGGCAGTAACATCCTGTAGGAGGACCTAAGAGCACAGCGGCAGCCTAAGCCTGCCATGTCCGTGTGACGGATGGTTCCGAGCATTAGCGAGCAGGCAGAAGATCCCGTTACCTAAATCACGCCGCCTAGGTCGTTCTGCTGAGCAACCATCTATCCGGAAGGGCCTTGGTGAGACGGCCCCTACGGCGCGATAGGAATGAATGTGATGAGGTTGGGTCGTTGCTTGTTCGCCACTTCAAGAACTTTGGAACGAGTGAAGAGCTGATCTTTGTTGCAATATCAACAAAACAACTGCACATAATCTTTACATTGATGACTTTCTTATGTGGTATTCTAAAAAATCCGAGCCTTGTCGCTATTCGCTATTTCTTCGTTATGTGAGTGAACACTGAGACCAATGACATCGTTTGAAGATCTGCAGCAACAACGAATCAATTAAGCCCTTCGAGTTGTAGNTCTATGTGGTATTCTAAAAAATCCGAGCCTTGTCGCTATTCGCTAATTCTTCGTTATGTGAGTGAACACTGAGACCAATGACATCGTTTGAAGATCTGCAGCAACAACGAATCAATTAAGCCCTTCGAGTTGTAGACTTCGTTACGTATTACAGAAGTAGGCTATAAGGGATGATCTTAGTCTGCGCTCTATTCTATTGTAAGTGCGTCGCCTAGTCGCCGCCCCTTGCAAATCAATAGGGTGCCAGCTTCAGAACTTGGACTAAACATTGCGCGCTCCAATCATTAACCACCTCCCCTTTGAATTTATTTGACACGAAGCGCGTGCGGCAAGCATGGCATGCCGGTCGAGTCTAATTTGATGCTATCTAAAAAGTTGGCAGCGTCTGCGAAATTCGCTGTGGCACCGCAATACCGTAACCTACGCTCATGTGCTTAGTTGCAGCTGGCCTAAATTTTGTTAGGTCAGCTGCAGGCTATATTAATAGGTAATAATCAGTAAGGTTAGGGCGACAAACAGGTATTCAAGTTCTGAAAACTTCTGCTAGTTTGATGTAGGACTTTCAAGCAAAAGTCGTGTTGTGGTATAAGCAGTGACAGGCACTCGATGATGACTCCCGGGGTAGCACAACCTACACCCTAGCGGCGTTAGAGGAAGGTTCGTAATAAATGATAACTCCCAAAAGGAACAAATCTGTCCGCACATGCACAAACGATTTCTCAACTAGGGCGCAATGCCTAAAGTTCTAATTTGATGTGAATAATTTCTTCAAAGAAGCTCTTATAACAGACCTGCCTTTGGCTCAGTCAGTCGAGTGAAGCGCCTCACCCAACACCTTCCCTTTTCTGTACATTCCCCATCCTGGTGGCTTTCATTTCACTTTTCGATGACTTCTTTTCGAAATGTTAATGCAATCGTGTGACTTGTTGAAGAGGACGGACAGCAATCCACTTTAACAGCTCATTATTAATGGCTGCTTTCATAGTCCGCTAGCGTGCGTGCCGGCCGGCCGGCCGGCACTGGCGGGGGCAGTGCTAGGGGGAGGAGGGAGGCAGACAGATAGGCAAGCAGTCCACGCCCCTTCGAGGGGTTGAAAACAAACAACCTTCGGAGGGGCGTGGACTGTTTGCCTTACACTGTCTGCCTCTCTCCTCTCCCCTAGCACTGCCTCCGCCGGCACGCACGCCAGCCGGCCGGCCGGCGGACTATGAAAGCAGCCAATGCAATGCACCACACTTTCTATGCAAAGACATGCAGAAAGATAAAAAACGCGCTCTGAATATCCGAAATCACTAACGAGCGCGCGACAAAATTTAGGCCAGCTGCAACTAAGCACATGGGCGCGGGTGACGGTATTGCGGTCCCACAGCGAATTTCGCAGACGCCGCCAGCTTTTTAGATAGCACCGTCTAATTTCTCATGTGAGCAGTGAAATGTTGCAGGCATTTCAAGAGGATAGAAATAGAGCAGAAACACGGTTGAATGTGTAATTAGTGGCTAAGACGGAGACAAGGAGAGTAGCTAACTTTACACATGCATAGAGACGGTCTTTGGCTAAAGGAATATAGTCTTTATCTAAGCCCTATGAGCAGGGTAGGAGCACAGCATAGGTGATATGCTTAACACGGGCGGAGAGCTGAGATGGGGTCAGAGGAAAATATTCTACTGACTTGCTTCCATCCCGGAGCTATCCCTCTCGTGAGGCTGAAGTGAAAAAAACTAAGTTGCCTTGACCACGAAAAGTTCATGAGCGCTATTGGCTTTCCAAGGCGGACTACCTCTCCTTTTCTACGTTCTAGCGCTAAGAGATGCCCCTCCCCCCCTCCAACTTCATTTTCATCGAAACACAGTATGAATATTTTTGTGAGAGGAAGAAGACATAACGGTAAAGTGCGACTATCTGTTTGAATGTGAATGGAGAATTCTGCGATTTGTCATAGAAGCAGTGTTAACAGCTTGCCTTTATATGATACGTTTCAGGAAATGGGAAACATTGGGAATACTGGCTGCTTTCATAGTCCGCCGTCCGGTCCGCGAGCGAGCGACAGGGGACAACGCTTGATCCTTGTTTACAATTAAATCTTGGTCGATACCGCCGGACGAGTAGTTCCTCGGCAGCTCGCGGACTATTAAAGCAGCCACTAGCTGTTGAATGTCAACAGATCGCACTTTTGTCGCACATGCAGCATTCCTCTCAAAAGATAGTAGAAAACTGATTGCTGAAAAAACTCGTCCCAGTGATCAATTTCCTACTATATGTTGACATGGATCCTGTATGTGCGACAAAATATAGCGCCACCCAAACTTCTTGATTTACAGATCTCCCGGCAAACTATCATACATACATAGCTACGCAGCTGCGTCTGCTGCCGTGAAAGATGGGCAGGTCTCCGTCATCCTCGAAGTATGTACATATTGCCAGTAATCAAGCATTTCTAATTTCTGAGGCTACTGCTATTGCCCATTAGCTTGGGTTAGAGCGTGTACACTCGAAGAGAAGAACTCACTCAATTTTTTCAGGGTTATACTCACTTGTCTCTTTTTGCAAATACTAGTCCCATGTCGAGAAGATAGAGCAAGCCAGACAAGAAGTAGAATGCCTGAAACAAGGAGTATGTCTCTCGATGTGACATCCAGCCATGATGAATAGTAACTCCGAATAAGAAATGGTGGACTACTAAAAATTGTTAGAAATTGTAATTAAACACAGAAATTACCTTGATATCAAAATGATTTGTGAAACATACTGTACACGACAGTTTTGTAATTGGGACAGCAAGGCGGTCTACATGTATAGATGTAGGTAGTTTCACTGTCCTCTGCGGTTCATAAATTGAAAAAAGCCAAGCTAATCAACTACCCGGGGCTTCCCCTACCTCGCTATCCGTCAACTGGAATTATTACTTGGACATGCATTGTCTTGAACTAATCTGAACGCTCCATGGCATGTGGGTGGGCTTAGGTTCATGCAAAGTCCCGCATTCATAACATTATACATTTGGGCCACTTGAGGCTAGCATTTGCTCTCACAATCACCTAAAAGTTGTCTGTGATGCTAAGCTAGAGGGATTTGAGAAGGTCATCAAAACCTATTGTCTTACTTTTTATCATTCTCTTAGACAGTTAAGGTGAACAGTTATGCGATCAGATTCAATCTGGTCCTCCGTAGGGACCTGCTATGGCGACAGGTAAAAAAGTCAGAAGAGCTCACCGCTGCCACTGCCCAACCCTTCACAACGAATTGAATCTGGCAGCCGGGTAGTCCTGCGCAACCGGACACTACTCCATTTCCGACGGCCTGAAAGGATCGCTTTCTTTGATGTCATTCTCCACATACCGTCATCTTTGTCTTCTAATTGAACTCACCATAATAAAGAAGGACATATGGTCAAATCCTGTAGCATACCATGTTTCAACGCCTCCACAAACCAGAAATGCTATCAATGAGATTCCCGATGCGAAAAGTTGCTGAAATTCAGCTTTTTTGAATGTATGGACTTTTCTGGACTCTCAAAACCGTAAAAAGCTCCTCACTCAACAACCGAGGTACTCTCCTACACTTCTTCACATTCAAGGAAAAATTACGTGGAATAAGTCATTTGCGCACCGCTGTTTTGCGATGCGTTATGAGTCGAGATTCACGGGGAGAGCGTAAATTCATTCTTGCTCGTACTATTGATGGATGGCCGTCCTCAAGGGAGCGGACTCATTCCTGCGATTGAGAGCTTTACCAAGTGACCCATGACCCTCGACGCTTTACTCACCACCTATACGCCCATTTTGCGATGTGCCTGCTGTGGAAAGTGTAACAGAAGTGAATCAGTGCACACCAAAGAAGGAGTCTTATTTGTCCTTTGTGCTTTGAAAATTATAAGGGTGTGATGGATCGATGCCCACTGTTTCCGTAAAATGTTTGTCGTTACTACCGTGAGCTCATTCTATTGACCTGTCAGCGTTTTCCACTGAATCCCATGTGTACGTTATGCCCAAATTGCTCTCCAAAGACGTGGCGAAGGTAGATTGTAATGGTAACGAAAAAGCAGGGTGCATTCCCAATCTGGGTGATGATTCGGGCCATTGCAGTGGTTTTTGTAAGTGCTGGACATCAGCAAAGGGCTTGCGAGGGATTACAGCTGGTTAGATTATCGTTAGTGCTGATGATTACCCAATATCCAGTTTTAGCGTTTTCCGCCATTGGTTACTCAACAGCGATTAAATCGAACAATCAATCGCAATTGTTCGAGCACATTTCCGAACAGAGGCAAATGATTGAAATCTGCCTTCCCCTTTTCGTGACATCTTCCCTTTATGTTGCCTTCTAAGAGACCAGAACATCTCTCCGAAGAGATTGGGTTCTAAAAACGGACCCCAGCATGATTCAAGACGAGCGGTGCCTGCGTTGGAGACACTTGAGGTCACAGCAAACCTGTTATCTTGTACGCCTTCAAAGTTGTTAATCTCCACTCCGAGCATGGTATAACGAAGGTGAAGGGGTGCTCTATATCTCGAGCTTACCCAAATCAAAGGATCGGACCTCATTCAAAGCAGAGGTCAGCAGTTTAACACATTCTTAAGGGCCAAAGGCCTAAAGGATGAAGCTCTCGGTATTAATTTTCCTCAATTAGACATGCTCTCATACACTCTTATTTTAATCTAATTTCATATGGATTCGTATCACGGTTTGAAAACGAATAAGGCCTAGATAGACCGACTTGTAGAAGTCAGGTCAAGTCTATACGAGCTAGGTAGCAAGTTCGGATTCATAGTTTAGAACAGAACCTTTTGACCTGACGCTTATTGATGGATGCCTAGGAATGGGACGCACGATTGAGTGCAGAGGATGAAGATAGCTTCTAAAATGTGGGTGGTAGCTTCAGCACTTTGGACTTACCCTACCTCTTCCCGGCATGAGTTATCCTGTCCGTTTCCATTTTGTCTCTGATAGCTGATCGTATCGGTAGCAAACTTTCCATGCAAAATATGGCAGAACCTTGGAATCCCAAGCCCATCGACGAGTCACTTCCCTAGCTCTATTCCAATTCCATACCTTTTTGATATTCACCTGGAGATGCTTTCATAGGGAGCTTATACACATGGAGGGGCTTTTAAAATGGTTCTTAGGCCATGAAACACTTCCTTTCACTGGATAGTTAGATTAATCACTGGCTCCTTTTCTTTTCTTGAATCAATTTTATGACATTATTAATGCACTATCCAAAAGTTTACAACTTCGGTGACAACCTTGCAGAGAAGGCAATACTATGCGATTCCACAGTTATTGTAGCAGCATTAGCAATGCACCTACGGGAAACAAGAACGTGCTCAAATGCATGGAAACAAGAACGTGCCCACTTCGCATACGAAATCAGCTTTTATCAACCAGTTTCGGAGGCTTATTTTGTTCAATCGTTTAAGCGCTTTATGTATTCTCACAGCTGCAACTGCGGCCCGCTACTGGTAGTACTTCAAGCGTAAAAGTAGTGAACCGGATTCTTCACCACCAATAGCGTCTACGGAGATTACTGTAACCATGCTTTTCACCGTGCTTTGATACAGCTTCCCAGAAAACTGGTGTCACTCTTGTCAATGAGTGAATCTGACAGCATGCTTTTCACCGTGCTTTGATACAGCTTCCCAGAAAACTGGTGTCACTCTTGTCAATGAGTGAATCTGACAGAAGCGATTTTTACCGAAATTTTGTGTTTATCTTCCTGTACTGCCCCTGCCTGGGCATCAGTCGAACACGAGAAAACAGCTCAATATTGGCTAATGTTTATGTTCTCAGCTGCATCTCCAACAGGGAAGTCCATTAATGAACCACCAAACGGTGTGTTTGTATGGCGTTTNAAACTTTTTTAACTCCAATACAAAAACGAATCTTTGCTCAAGCTAGCTAAACAACGATATCCCTAGAAATGTCTTCGGGAAAGCTGAGTGGAACATCATAGTCATAGTTACCGGTTAAGCAATATTGTGTNTAATGAACCACCAAACGGTGTGTTTGTATGGCGTTTCCGCATTGGGCGCTGAACAGGGAGTCACCGGAGGAGCACTCAGAGTTGCACGAGAAATACAGTGTGACTCGAGATTGACTATAGAACTAATTCTTCTCGGTAGCAAACATTTGAAGATGAAACTCGTGGTGAAGTGCGCCCACCGCAGAAGGCAAGAAGTTGAACAGAGTATTATCTAGGGCGTTCACATACTTCTTTGTGATCCGGTCCTCTGCTCTTTTACAGCATATTGCGACTGAAAGAGAGCAATAGTGTCTTTTGTTTGACCCTTGTACGAACCCTTGAGGGACATGAGTATGACCGTCATGGGTTTTCTGAGGGTTACCACGCTTATTCTAGCTCACCTTTGATCGTTCAACTACTATAATACGTTTCCTTCGAAAACGAGCCCATTCCCTTTTCACTATGTACATAATACCTACACACGTACCAGACTGTTGAACCCTTTGCCTTCAGTCGACTTCATGTATAGCCGATCACAGAAAATCTAGTAAGTTCGGTACATGTCATCCATTCTGCAGTTCTGACTTCCTTGACGTTTCGGTCCCAGTCAGTGGACGAGATTTTCCAGACAGTTACTGGCTCCAAGATAGTTTTTATGAAAGATTACAACCACTCAGCCCTAAATTGTTGAGGTCCTGTGAAGGTAGCGATCACGGTCATTCTGCAATCTACTTTCAAAGCAAAGTAAATTCTAGGAAAATCACCAGTGGCAAACGTAGGCTCAAGAAAAACATCGGCGAAAGGAACTCGAAGACAAAAGCAATCAGGGCTATATGCTGATTGAAGGGTTTTTTTTCAGTAAGGCAGAAACTATATGACTTTTTAGGTAAATATGTTAAGTTATTCGGGTATTTCTAGCCAGCATTCTGAAGACTTGGGTACACCGTTATTCATAGTAAGTCCTCTCTGCTTCAGCCAATCTAAAGCTTATCGAGAAAAGACTATGAAATGAAGGTATGTACTGGAAAGGCATGCAAACAAATACCAGAATCAATATCAAGGTTCGGTCCCCTATGCCCTATGGGTGCAGAGCGATAGTTGAATCCCACTCCTCCCTTGAGGACCTCTCAGATTGATCCAGCTTTTCGCATCGTAGAACAGGATCTGTCGGAATTGATAGGTCAAGTACACACTCGGAACACTCCCTCACGTAGATAACGTTGCACTTATAGGGGGAATTCGTTCCAATAACACTGAAAATATTTGCGCACGATTTTTTCTGCTCCCCGTAGATTCTTGATTCGGACAGAAAAAAATATTTCATTGTCTTCTCCCCAACCCGCAACTAACTCGTCCTGGAAAGCTTTTGTTTCTAACCTTACTACTACCAATGTGCTCCCTACTTGCGGTTACACATAGCAACACAACCTTCCATATGCACGAATAAAACTTCTTGCTTTCAATGATTTTGATCAATTATTGATCGATTGGTTCAGGTAAAGGTGTTAGGCCGGGAGAAAAAATTGCAGACTTGTTTGCCAACCTCCAGACTGCGTTGAATACTGACTTATTACGCCGAAATCGTTTCAGAGACACACTTTTGCTCATAAGTGGACTAACCAATAGCAACCACCCTAAGAATCCAATACCGGCCATTCTGAGACAGTGATCAGCTCGAATAATACTAGTTTTCGATTGGTATGTGGTTTGAGAACCATTCAGAGTGCAGTGTTTGATCTAAAACACACTTGAGAGCACGAGCACCCCCAATGTGTAAAGATCACATCGAGAGCCATGGTTGTAGAATTTTGGTCGCCATTCGCTATTTTGATTGAACCGAAGGTTGAAAATTAAGCCTGAGACATATATCTTGAAGAACTCTTCTCATCATGTGAATTTCAGGTCGCCATTGTTGGGGATCAGACACCGGACCGATACTCGAACAGGCTCACCGAACCTTTTATCCCCCTGGTATTGATGTATGGGTTCCACACTCGTCTAGAATGATTAAAGCACTGACTTCTACATTGGCTGACCATCGCAACTCTCTGTACAGGCTAAGTACTTATTCAAAAAAACATCGGTACGATTCTGAATGGAAGGCTGAACCGGGAGGGGAGCATGCCAAAAAAAAAGGATTGATCAGTGCTAAAGGTCCTACCCTTACCCTTACGGACAGAAAGATAATGAAATTGCCAGTAAACAGTTAGGCTAGGCTTCTGGCTCTTAGAGTTGTTCGAGAAAGAGCACTTCTGGGGTGACCCTACAAGCACCCTAACACTTATGGAAAATTCTAACTTAAAGCGTCGTAACACGTGATGAGAACGAAGAGTGATGGGGACCGCCCTCTTGAACGATGTAATATTTCACCTTATCGTAATACTCTGGGAAACAATAGTGAACAACTGGAAGAACCACATGTGGAACTTTGAAATCTTTTCTTCTGATTTGTGATAATAAAATAGATGCTTGAAACATTCTTATACAATCTACCCTTCTCCCCACTTGACCAGTAGGGCTTTCATAAAAATCTCATTGATGTACATAACTTAATTATGGCATATAATGAAAGTAAGTACACGCTTACCGTGTACGTGAGGTTGTTTCCAATAGCCAGATGAACGCAGCTGATTCCTACCGTAACCAAGGCTAGGAAGAGCGAGACGACAATCAGAGCAACTTGACCGTAAACACTAAAAAAAAGACTGACGAAGAAAACCACAGAACGACTGTTTTACAGAAATCACTGACTTTTCTCCTCGTCCTTGAAAATGCAGTGCATTACTCCATCGATCCGCATTCATAGGAAATATGCTATTTTGACCTGAAAATCAAGCGATACATTCCCAACAAAAATTAGACTTACGAGGTCTTACCAGGACATATCTCCCTGCTGATAGGTTGACCATTGAGATATCGTGAAAAACAAGCACCTGGGGCTACCAGAATAAGAATCATCGCCACTATCGTGAGGCACTTAAGAACAACTCAAAATTACTTCGAATAAAGCAAAAGTAACAATAAAGCTTTACCAGAATGAATAGACGAATACAAAAGGACATGCCAGCGATGGCTCGGGGGGAGACCATGACTGAAGACAGGAAAATGGTCTGAAATTTGCAACATTTCAAAAAGGAAGCCTTATGAAAAACGGAATGAGTCGTCATTTTTTGCCAAATTACTGGAATTTGAGGCTCTTCGATGCTTTTGAAAATAACGAATACACAATAATATGAAATTGGAAAGGAGACAGTATAGTAGCTGAAGAAACAGCCCGTGCACTCAGGGATTCGGTCTAGTTTGGTAGAGGATACGTTTCACCTCTCTAGAATCAAACAGTTGACACAGGGTTCTCAGGAGTGTTTAAATACAGCCATCAGTAGTAGTCCATCCTTAAACTTCCATGAATACACCGGCCGAATGGGCGTTCGAAGGCCTCACGATTCTGTACAAATTGGGCTAGAAAATAGAGGTCCATGGCTTGGAAAGCCCCTCCACCCTTGGTCGCTCTTCAGATCGGCTGAGACACCTCATTTCAAGAACTGATATTCAGTGCGGCTAAAGCTCCTACCGTAACCTAATATTGCCTCTAATCGTAAAGTGTAATTAAATGGCAGGTAATTGTTGAGCAATTGTAGTATGGGACTACGGTAGGAACAGTGCCAATCAACCTTAATCACATATATGAACATGATCCAAAGAGCTGTCAGTTATTGCCGATGACGGAAATGGACCTAAAGCGGATGATTGAGAGCTGGAGCTTTCTGATAATCACATGATCGCGAGGCAAGGTAATGTGGGCAATGTTCCAAATCGAAACAAATCAATATTGATCAAGACCAAAACAGGATTGCAATAGATTGGTGTGGGTGCCAATGGTGATGTATGCTGTGCGAGCAGTCATAGATATAGAGGCAGGCAGGTGTATGTGTGCGTGTGAGTTCAGAGATGATGATGCCGCAAACAGTATTATGTAAAATCGACCGGATGTGGGCATTCACACAGTTTTTCGACGCCCCCTCCTCGTCAATCAGCCACATCCTCGCTCACAATGTTTCCGTATTGGTCTGTTCGCCGAACGGGTACACGCGCTCCGGAGCAAAAGGCAATGGAGGAAGCTTACAGTCTTGTCCTCCAGGTACAGCATCCCTTATCCGAGATACTGGCGAAGAACAGCAGTAAGGTTGATCAATGTGGCAAAAGATAGGGAATCAGCTTACGGCCTCTACAACCACTTATGTAAACTAAGCCATGCAGTGGACTTTAACCAAGAACCCCTCGTGAAGTTTGAATATCGACTTCAACCTACTTAACAACGAATTACGTGATAGCTGGTGGTTAAGTTCCACCCTCAGAGAGCTAATCACTGCTGGAGACATATCTGCAACCCCAGGAGCTGTATTCCTTTCGAATCTTGGAGCTGATTTTGAGCAGAGAGTGAGTTTTGGGCATCAGAGCCGCAGCGCCAAAGGAACTTACTATAATACATACATAGTATGTCTTCTGAGCGTCGATCATGCCCATTTCTAGGAGGATACACCTCGCTCTGAGTAGCACACACTCCTAAAAACTTCAGGATTTGATCCCCGGGCCATGTGTGTGATAGTGTGCCTCACCTGCCACCACTATTTCTCTGACTACTAATGAAATGATTCAAAAAAAAAACATTCGTATAAGTGGGAACGAAAACCATCTGTTCTGTTATGATAGCAAAAGTGGAACTGTGGTCTCCAAAATAGTATCTGCATCTGCCTAAATATCAATCAACTCCCACGTGTGTGAGGAAGCCGGGGCCTACTGTTACATACATAGTTGACTTAGATATAATAGAAGTCGATTTTGCAGATCTTGTTTTGAACACACAGTGTATTAAACAACTGCATCTTTTTTACCAAAAGAAATACAAACATGTAACGATATCACATTTTTTGTATAACTGTATGGTATGCTTTGTTTACAAATGGGCCGATGTTTGGGAAGGGAAGAAGAATCGATGGGGCGATCTGACTGGAAGATGCCTCATACCTCCTATACCCTCCATGATAGAGATCTTCTAAATTTCCTTAATAATGCCGTCTAAGTAACCCTGCTCTCCGTTGGGGAAACCTGGCCAGAGAAGTTTTCCTGACGCCAAACCAAAAGGCTCGTGGTGTGGTGCGATTGGATCAGTCTGGTCGATCCTACTGCTAGGAGTAACTTATTCGGGTATTCCTGACATTTCATTCAGCACCATCACTTGGTTTGAAGACGGGAAAGCGGATACGGTATCCAGGGGTGTGGTGCGATTCACGCGCCAATATAATGAGGTCATGGGAAAGTGGGAAATGAGGTAAACGGACATGAGCCACAAGCCTATTTGACCTTTTTTGCCTTTCGCAGTCTAAGAGAGCCTAAGCTGTCCTCTTCCCAGTAGGTCCGTCAGTGCTTACAGTGCATTCACCATACATCGTGTTTCATCCACCTGTAGCGCAACTACCAAAAACCAGTTATTCCTGGCAATAATAATCGCCGATCGCATGGTCGAGTAGACATGACGTAATACATGCAGCAGGATTCATGAAATAGCGTTTTTTAGCCGAAAATAATAGGAAGCCAGTGCCGCACTGATAGGCCGGTCCTAAAAATTGAATATGCACTGGTATACCGTGCTGGTTAGCCTGTCCACGATTCTGATTATGTGATGGATTTCACATCAGATCAAGGATTTTCAGGGTGGGGATTATTTGCAGATCATGGGAGGTGGAACTTCTTGTAGCGTCTTCGGGAAAGCTGAGTGATACATCATAGTCATAGTTACCGGTTAAGCAATATTGTGTGAGAAACCACTGTTACCTGTTCAAGCCTACGGGAGACCCATCTCTATTGGGTTACCCACTGGATTGTAAAAACTCAAGACAAAAGGAAAGCATTTCTGTAGGTGCTGGGTGACATCGTTTTATGACTTGGATCAAAAACATAGGAACAGCCATCACAGTATGGTTTAGAAAAAAGAAACAAGGGTAGGTAACGAGACGAGAGAGCAGAATACTTTTACATTTTTTGTCAATCGCCAATCGTCAATTTTCACACCGTTGCGGTCAAGGAATCTACGAAAACTTCATGGTCCTTAGGGCGGCTGTCCAGATTCATATGGATTCCGAATTTTGAGCTCGAGTAGCTGTTGATAACGGCTATCAGTCTCACAGTAGGAATTCTTTCGGCTCCACTGTCAAAATCATGTCTTTAAACTGTTTGAATGAAACTTCCCTCTGGTCAATTAGTAAAAATGACGACTATTCAGTGAAGACGAATTTTCGAAGGAGGTAAGGGCTTCATGATCCAACCAGAACTCACAACAAATGGATGTTCTCCAAAAGGCTATTGATTACCTAGGCGAGATCACCCTGTCGGAAACTCGAGGCATTTGAAATGAATGGCTTATAGGACATTGAATGATTGAGCTGATTACCATTGTATGAATTAGGGCCGACCGCATGCAAATAACTATTTACAAAAGCACGAAATTTCTACAGAATAACCGGTCGCTGACTCAGCCCTAAAACAGCATAGGAACGCTACAACCCCATTGTGGGTCCACGTACAAAGGGCTAACAATAAGCCGCTGACTAATGAAAAATCTGATCGGAAACGTCGCTGAATTACTTCCGCTAAACACCAAAAGTCGCCTCAATAAGGATGTGGGAGAAAATACAGTAGGACAGATATTTTGTGAAATCGACGAATGACTAGTTCGTCGGATACCGGCGACTGGCGAAAGTCCGTTTGGATGCAAACCTCGCTAGATGCTTTAATTCTGAAGGAATAGTTGTAAAAACTCCAATTTTGCGCAGTATTTCTCCCAAATTCATCAGAAATACTCTCTGAGTGACCATCGATTGAAG